GGGGGGGGGGGGAGGCTGATGTCTGTGGGCTGCGTGTCCCCGGTCCCCTGGCCAGTGGGTTTCCAGCTGGGATCTGGCCCGGCGAGGCACAGTCTGGGGGGATGGGAGAGGGGGCTAAAGAGAGAAGCTGGAATAGTTCTCCTCAAGTGAGGTCACCAGCAGCAGCTCCTCCGTGTTCCAGCTCCCACCCAACTGGGTTCCAGCTGGTACCAGGCAGCCCGGGGCTCTGGGGTCCACTCACCCCACCACCTGCCCTGGCCCCTCCGTCCCCAGGGCGGGGGCAGTTTCCCACACTGGCTAATCTCTGGGTTGACTCACCATCCCCTCTTTGGCTCTAAGCTCTTCCATAACCTGGGTAACTAACTCCCTATATTAAGTCTCTCCGTCTGAAATACCTAGACTGCTTCTGTTTCTTGGTTGGACCCCGAGTGACAAGACCCTCCTGCAGTCCTGTGACAGGACTGCAAGTCACAGATAGGAGGCTGGTCCAGAAGGTCCTCTGAGACTCTCCCCCAGGCATCCACGGGCTACAGGCAGGCCAGCCTCACCCGGACAAGTCCTGGAACAGAAACTATACCCCCAAACCCCAACCCCAACCACCAGGAAAGTCCAATAGCCCTTCCATGGTTACCCAGAGCAGAGACGGCCTGGTTCCAGACCACAGGGAAGAACTGCACAGGGAGCTAGAGAGGTGCCCTCTCTCCACAGCTTTAGAGTGGGGCCCACTTGCAAGCCGGGAAACTGGGCCAGCATCCTGTTGGAGGGTGAGGAAACTGAGGCTCAGAGAGGGAAGGTGACTTTTTTAGAATTCCCAACCAGAAAGCAGCAGAGCGGGGGCTGGAACCCGGAGGTCCCGGCTCCTGGCCAGTGCTCTTTCCCCTCCCGTGTTATCCTGTCCCTGACCCGCCTCCCGGGAGACAGAGACTCTCAGGTCCACTGGCGACACTGTGCATCAGCTTGATTGCAGTCGGGTGCCACCGTGGCCCAGCCCGCCCGCTTCCGGGGCACCGCCATTTAGGAATGTTTCCGGCACAGGCCTAAGGATGTGCGGTGGGATGACTGTAGCCTTGTCTAAAAGTGAAAGGCTAAGGATGACCTAAGTGTCATCAGCAGGGGGTCGGTCCCAAGTGCGGCGTGTCCATACCTTGCGCTCCTGGGTGACAGTTAGACCACACGCAGTATGGTCTAACCACCTGCTGTGTTTTCACGACGGAGCCCACATTAAGGAGCGCAGAGAGAACTCTGAGCAGGGGTCAGTATTGGGGCGGAGCAGGGGTCTGGACCCAGAAATAACTCACTTTTCACTGTAAACCCCTTATGATACTTACGTGGCCGCCACGTCCACACCATTGTTCTAAGAACAGTTAATGAAGTTGTTTTTAATATTTCACTTAAGGGGCACCTGGGTGGCTCAGTCGTTAAGCATATGACTTCGGTTCAGATCATGATTTCACAGTTCGTGCGTTCGAGTCCCATATCAGGTGAGCTTGAGCCCTGCTTCGGGTAAAACATAAGCCCTAGATGAGCCCCACTTCTTTCTCTCTCTCTCTCTTCCCTTTGTGGGATTCTCTCTCTTTGCCCCTCACTCACTTGCACTCTCTCTCTCTCTCTCTCTCTCTCAAAAAAAAAAAAAAAAAAAAAAAAAAAAAGACCTAAAACCATAAAACTCCTAGAAAAAAAAAGATAGAAGCTCCTGGACATTGGTCTTGGTGATAATATTTTGGATTTGATGCCCTAATCAAAAGAAACAAAGGCAATAATAAACAAGTGAGACCACATCAAACTAAAAAGCTTCTGTAGAGCAAAAGAAACCACCAACGAAATGAAAAGACAACCTACTGAATGGGAGAAAATATTTGCAAATCTTACATCTGATAAGAGATTAATGGCCAAAATATATAAGGAACTCCTACAGCTCAATAGCGAAACAAACAATCTGATTTTATAAATGAGCAGCGGACCCGAAGAGACGTTTTCCCAAAGAAGACATCCAGATGGCCAACAGACACATGAAAGGGTGCTTGACATCGCTTATCGTCAGGGAAATGCAAATCAAGACCACAGTGAGATGTCACTTTACACCTGTCAGAATGGCTAGTATGAAAAAGACCAGAAATAACAAGTGTTAGGGAAGATGTGGAGAAAAGGGAACCCTCGTGCACTGTCGCTGGGAATGTAAACTGGTGCAGCCACTGTGGAAAACAGGATGGAGGTTCCTCAAAAAATTAAAAAGACACCTACCACATGATCCAGTCATTCCACTTCCGGCTATTTATCTGGAGAAAATGAAAACACTGGTTTAAAAAGATCTGTTACTCCCCATGTTCATGGCCGCACTATTTACAATCGCCAAGATATGGAAACTAAGCTGAGCATCCATCGACGGACGAGTGAATAA